TTGCCTTTGGGACTTTATAGTAGCCCAGGAATGAAATTTACACCCATAATGGCATACCATTTGCAATAGTAGACAACCCAAGGTATTGCAAATGGGGTATGTCCAGTCTTTTTAGTAGCCATTTGGTCACAAACACTGGCCAAAGTTAGCGTTAGTATTTGTTTGTGTGTGGAAAATGCAAAAAATGCCAATTTTGGCCAGTGTTTGTGACTAAGTGGCTACTAAAAAAGACTGGACATACCCCGTTTGCAATACCTTGGGTTGTCTACTATTGCAAATGGTATGCCATCATAGGGGTAATTTTCATTCTTGGGCTACCATTGGGTCTCAAAGGCAACGTAACCAATCTGGCGAATTTTAATGTGAAAAAAATGAAACACAAGCCTTATATTTGACGCTGTAACTTTTGAAAACACCATAAAACCTGTACATGAGGTGTACTGTTGTACTCGGGAGACTTCGCTGAACACAAATATTTGTGTTTCAAAACAGTAAAAAGTATTGCAGCAATAATATCATCCGTGTAAGTGCTGTTTGTGCGTGAAAAATGCAAAAAACTTCACTTTTACTGGCGATATCATTGTTGTAATATATTTTACTGTTTTGAAACACTAATATTTGTGTTCAGCGAAGTCTCCCGAGTAAAACAGTACCCCCAATTTACAGGTTTTATGGTGTCTTGGAAAGTTATAGGGGTTAAATATAGTGCTAGCAAATTAAATTCTCTTTTACTTTCGCATGGGTATTGGTTGGGGTAGGTCCGCTAATTGTACCAATTAAGATAATTTAATTACGAAAATACGCTATAAATATATGAAATTACATGTGTATATATATATAGTATATATATATAGTATATATAGTATATAATGTATGTGAAATATATATGTATATATATATACTTTTTTAAATATTTTTATTTATATATATAGGTATGGCAGTATATATAATGTATATTTATGTATATGGATATATATATTATTTGGTTCTTACGTATTTTGATAAAATATATATATATTAATATCACAAATACAGTTAGAATGAAATAACACACATCTATATATTTTTAATTATTTTTTTTTTTTTTTTTTACGTATTTACATATTTAATTTTTTATATTATATATAAATATATGTATATGTATATGTGTATATATATATATACTTAGATCATATATATATAAAATATATATATGATCTAACTATATATTATTATTTTTTACACTTTTTAACTTTATTTGATTTTATTTCCAGCCAGCAGGGGGACTACCTGTCATTACAGGCAGCCCCCCTGCTGGCAATGCAGCAGGCAGCTAACCCGGCCATGTGATTGTGAGGTCCTCGCAAGGCCGGGGGGGCTGCCAGGAGGAAGATCTGCTGCGGGGGGGCTCCCTGGGAGTCCCCCCAACCGCGATCGCTGGCGTGGGATCGCCGGCATGGGACAGAGGATTGAGCAGTGAGGCTGCAGGGGCATGTTCTATACACCAAAACTGCTTCATTAAGCTAAAGTTGCTCAGGTGACTATAGTGTCCCTTTAATGTCCCGAGTCTATTAATTTGTGAGTCTGATAAATAGAGATTTTTTAAAATTTTCTTTTATATATTGTGGCGAAACCAACCTCGCCACTATGCACTGGAGAAGCCTGGTTGCCAGCCTCCTGCCATCTGACTATGGCCCCCTTGTGAATTCGTACTTTTGTATGCAATATTTGGGCATGTGACATTTTTATATTGCTGCTACTGGCCCTTTAAGGGCCATCCGTGGAGATATTCTGCCTGTTAGGAATAATGCCTTTTTAAGACTGTGTAGCAAATTGCATTCAGGCTGTATTTAATATTATATGTTCGGTAAACAGTGTTATGTGTATGCAGCATTCGTCTGATTGTTCGGCAGAATTACTCCATTCATTAGCCCACCAGGTGAAACTACCGAACAACCAGACCACCCTGGAGTAAGTGTGCCTCCAATTACCGTTTGCAACAATGTTGCAAACGGGTAATTGGCAATATGTGTAATGTGTGTTGTGTCCTCTGGGTGGCCGCCATTCGGGAAACGAACACGTGGCGGCGGCCATCTTAAACTCCCGAACAGCGGTGTTTTGCCGTCGAGTATCTGGAACTAAAATCGGACACTCGACTAAGCAAACACCGCTGAGACCTCCAGACTTCCAGCAATTCGTGCAGAAACTACCGAACGGCCCGCCGTTCGGTAGAAAGGATCCCACGAACAGGGGGATTCATACGAATCCTCCCCAAGCTCTCTAACCCAGGCAATTCGTGTGATTCATTCCCTTTTCTGTGACCGACTGCAGGGCCAAAGTACATGGAACTATTTTCGGATACTTTTGCCATGCAGTCGGTGAAAACTTTAACCCTCTATAATTCCTGAACCCCTGGTCCGATCTGGGGGATTTTTGGATATGTGTCTCACCCAGATCAGGGCTACCAGGGGATGTAACATTTAAAGGGGTATCCCTATGTTTAGGGGTACATCCAGTATCCCAGGGAATTTGTGTTTGTACTAATGGGATTATGTGTCACACTAAGGGGAGGAGATGTGTGGGAGGTAACTGGTACATTATTGGCTGGGGTACTAATTGTTGTGGATCCCTCCCTTGCATGGGAGAATGTCTTAAAAGGAGGTTGTGTGAATAAATCTGCTGATTCTGCTTAACCCTCAAAACGAAGTGTCGTCTCGTTATTGGGGGAATTGGATTGTGTGCTGACTGCCAGGAGTGTAAGCCGTTCGTATTGCTTTTCCTGTTCGGCTGCTTCCAGAGTTCGTGTATTTCTTGTTCGTGAGTTGGGGATTCGTACAGTTTGGAGTTCGGGAGGTTGGTGATTGCAATAGCTGCTGGTCTATGGGAAAGGGGATTATCGCCTAAACGGATTTATCCCTTTGTGAGAGAAACGGTCCGTTACATATATATATCCCTTTATTCTTAGAAAGTTAAAGATTTCCTAATCTGGGAGTGTGTATTCTTGTTGCAGTTGAGCAAATTGTTTCAAATTGATTTTAAAGACACAATCATCAATTCTAGAGATACCTGATCTTCGCCAACACTTTAAATCTATATTGGTTAGATTGTTTTTTTTAGAAGAACAATTGTATTTTTACCCATTACTTTGTTGGTCAGGCCCATTTTTTCCCTAATCTTTTGCCAACTCTCCTTTAGGTTTAAAATAACTCTAGATGAGATTTCTTCTTTTGACTTTGTTGTCCTATTTTTTCCTTATCCCTCATTACCTGATGTTTCCCAAAATAACAATTTAAGACTACAATTAGATGTTCAATAATAAACAGGTTATTTCCTTAGCCTCTAGGTGCAGAGATAGGCTAATTTATATTACTGCAGTAACAGAGACTGCACTTAGAGGCTAAGGGTTTATTATTGTATGTTATATAGTTTAATAGGTTGTAAGGTCTCCTATTTTATATACCCTCCACTTAACCTGATCGATCTATTCAGCGCTCCACTTCCCAAGCATTTTTGTATTACAATTAGACGTTGTTCGATCATATAGCATTTTTCTTTATCTGAATCACGTGTGCCCTCCTACTTGCATTATATTATATAGCATTATATTATTTTTTGATGTTGGGCATACCCATACCTCTCCGAGATGTCTTTAACATAAGAATTCTTGCATTAATTCTTGATGGTTTCCCTAACCAAACACAATTTCTAAAACCTCTCTGTATCATTTCCAACAAACTTCTTGGAATATTAAGCGGAATCAATCTGAAAAGGTAAGCCAATTTTGGAAGGACACATGTCCTTATAATATTGATTCTTCCCCACCAAGGGATTTTCGTCTTCTTCCAATCACTTAGCTGTCTGTTAGTTTGTTTCAAGGGGGTAGAAAATTGAGTTCAATAATTTTTGTTATATCCTTCATTTTTGCTTCTCTCTTTGTATATTCGTCTTTATGCTACGTGACACTCTATATAGACACATGTGAGAAAAGGTATTTTTTTTGGCAAGTTGCAGCCCCTGGAACCTTTAGCTCTCACAACCGGCAAAAATACTTGTCTCTCTTAACAGAACTCATAGGGCAAAATATTTCAAATGGGATATTCAAGATTCCTGACACTTGAGCATTTTTTAGATATCCCAGGCAAGTTACAATACTGTGAATATGTATAAAGACAATGACCTTTATAATAAATCCCTTGAAATATTTTACAGGTAAATAAAGGAAGTGACATTCATGGGCTTCCTGTATTCTTCTTGTAAAGGAATTGTGACGTAACCCATGTCACCCATGGGTATACTATAAGATCTGAAACCAACATGTGAAGAGGAAAACCTAAAAAAGAGAGGACAATGGTTGGGAGTGAAATCTCCAGAAATAATTTGTGTTAACCTCTTCACTACCGAGCGCTATTTTGCTTTAACAATATTAACATGGCATTTTTGAAACTTGGGATGCATAGCTGGCACCTCATGGCAGGTTTGATAAAAATAACTATTTTGTGTACAGATTGTAGTTCATAGATATATCTATAGTGTTAGGTATACAAAGTTGTATTCCTAGCACTGTAGTACACCAGCCCCACCCACTTAGACCACTCCTCCCCAAACCCCCTTTTGTCACTTACCTGATTCCAGTACCAATGTCCCTCGACTCTGGATCAGACTCCACCAACATTAGCCAGCGGGGGGACCTAATGCACGTGGGCAGCAAGCGCAGGGATTGCATTAGGACTTCCTATAGGGAAGCATTGAATCGCTGGATGTCCTCATGCAGAGTGTGAGGAAGTCCAGTGTCATTTAGCGGACCAAAAGTTCTATAAGGACCTGGATGCGCCTCTGGTAGACAGCCACTAGACGTGGAGTTAACTCTGCAAGGTAATTAGTACAGTTTCTCAAGGGGACAGGGAAACTGCATCTCAGGGCTAAGGAGACAGGGACACTGCACTAAGACCACTTTAATGAGCTAAAAATAGCTTAGCTGCCTATAGTTTAAATAACCAGATTGTAAGATTCATTAACTTCTACTATGCAGAATATCCTGATTCTAAGATCCAGTGACTTGTACCATGCAGAATATCCTGATTGTAAGATCCAGTAATTTGTACCATGCAGAATATTCTGATTGTAAGATCCAGTGACTTGTACCATGCAGAATATCCTGATTGTAAGATCCAGTAACTTGTACCGTGCAGAATATCCTGATTGTAAGATCCAGTAACTTGTACCATGCAGAATATCCTGATTCTAAGATCCAGTAACTTGTACCATGCAGAATATCCTGATTGTAAGATCCAGTAACTTGTACCGTGCAGAATATCCTGAATGTAAGATCCAGTAACTTGTACCGTGCAGAATATCCTGATTGTAAGATCCAGTAACTTGTACCGTGCAGAATATCCTGAATGTAAGATCCAGTAACTTGTACCGTGCAGAATATCCTGATTGTAAGATCCAGTAACTTGTACCGTGCAGAATATCCTGATTGTAAGATCCAGTAACTTGTACCGTGCAGAATATCCTGATTGTAAGATCCAGTAACTTGTACCATGCAGAATATCCTGATTGTAAGATCCAGTAACTTGTACCGTGCAGAATATCCTGAATGTAAGATCCAGTAACTTGTACCGTGCAGAATATCCTGATTGTAAGATCCAGTAACTTGTACCATGCAGAATATCCTGATTGTAAGATCCAGTGACTTGTACCATGCAGAATATCCTGATTGTAAGATCCAGTAACTTGTACTGTGCAGAATATCCTGATTGTAAGATCCAGTGACTTGTACCATGCAGAATATCCTGATTGTAAGATCCAGTAACTTGTACCGTGCAGAATATCCTGATTGTAAGATCCAGTAACTTGTACCATGCAGAATATCCTGATTCTAAGATCCAGTAATTTGTACTGTGCAGAATATCCTGATTGTAAGATCCAGTGACTTGTACCGTGCAGAATATCCTGATTGTAAGATCCAGTGACTTGTACCGTGCAGAATATCCTGAATGTAAGATCCAGTAACTTGTACCATGCAGAATATCCTGAATGTAAGATCCAGTAACTTGTACCATGCAGAAAATCCTGATTGTAAGATCCAGTAACTTATACCATGCAGAATATCCTGATTGTAAGATCCAGTAACTTATACCATGCAGAATATCCTGATTGTAAGATCCAGTGACTTGTACCGTGCAGAATATCCTGAATGTAAGATCCAGTAACTTGTACCATGCAGAATATCCTGATTGTATCCTAGTAAACTCCAGTAACTTATACCATGCAGAATATCCTGATTGTAAGATCCAGTAACTTGTACCATGCAGAATATCCTGATTGTAAGATCCAGTAACTTGTACCGTGCAGAATATCCTGATTGTAAGATCCAGTAACTTGTACCATTCAGAATATCCTGATTGTAAGATCCAGTAACTTGTACCTTGCAGAATATCCTGATTCTAAGATCCAGTAACTTGTACCATGCAGAATATCCTGATTGTAAGATCCAGTAACTTGTACCATGCAGAATATCCTGATTCTAAGATCCAGTAACTTGTACCGTGCAGAATATCCTGAATGTAAGATCCAGTAACTTGTACCATGCAGAATATCCTGATTGTAAGATCCAGTAACTTGTACCGTGCAGAATATCCTGAATGTAAGATCCAGTAACTTGTACCGTGCAGAATATCCTGATTGTAAGATCCAGTAATTGTACCGTGCAGAATATCCTGATTGTAAGATCCTGTAACTTGTACCATGCAGAATATCCTGATTGTAAGATCCAGTAACTTGTACCGTGCAGAATATCCTGAATGTAAGATCCAGTAACTTGTACCGTGCAGAATATCCTGATTGTAAGATCCAGTAACTTGTACCATGCAGAATATCCTGATTGTAAGATCCAGTAACTTGTACCGTGCAGAATATCCTGATTGTAAGATCCAGTAACTTGTACTGTGCAGAATATCCTGATTGTAAGATCCAGTGACTTGTACCATGCAGAATATCCTGATTGTAAGATCCAGTAACTTGTACCGTGCAGAATATCCTGATTGTAAGATCCAGTAACTTGTACCATGCAGAATATCCTGATCCTAAGATCCAGTAATTTGTACTGTGCAGAATATCCTGATTGTAAGATCCAAAGTGATCTTTGTACCGTGCAGAATATCCTGATTGTAAGATCCAGTGACTTGTACCGTCGCAGAATATCCTGAATGTAAGATCCAGTAACTTGTACCATGCAAAATATCCTGAATGTAAGATCCAGTAACTTGTACCATGCAGAATATCCTGATTGTAAGATCCAGTAACTTATACCATGCAGAATATCCTGATTGTAAGATCCAGTAACTTATACCATGCAGAATATCCTGATTGTAAGATCCAGTGACTTGTACCGTGCAGAATATCCTGAATGTAAGATCCAGTAACTTGTACCATGCAGAATATCCTGATTGTAAGATCCAGTAACTTATACCATGCAGAATATCCTAGTTGTAAACTCCAGTAACTTATACCATGCAGAATATCCTGATTGTAAGATCCAGTAACTTGTACCATGCAGAATATCCTGATTGTAAGATCCAGTAACTTGTACCGTGCAGAATATCCTGATTGTAAGATCCAGTAACTTGTACCGTGCAGAATATCCTGATTGTAAGATCCAGTAACTTGTACCATTCAGAATATCCTGATTGTAAGATCCAGTAACTTGTACCATGCAGAATATCCTGATTCTAAGATCCAGTAACTTGTACCGTGCAGAATATCCTGAATGTAAGATCCAGTAACTTGTACCATGCAGAATATCCTGATTGTAAGATCCAGTAACTTGTACCATGCAGAATATCCTGATTGTAAGATCCAGTGACTTGTACCATGCAGAATATCCTGATTGTAAGATCCAGTGACTTGTACCATGCAGAATATCTTGATTCTAAGATCCAGTAACTTCTCCAATGCAGAATATCCTAATTGTAAAATCCAGTAATTTATACCATGCAGAATATTCTGATTGTAAGATCCTGTAACTTGTACTATGCAGAATATCCTGAATGTAAGATTCATTAACTTAAACTTTGCAGAATATCCTGATTGCAAGATCCAGTAACTTGTAACATGCAGAATATCCTGAATGTCAGATCCTGTAACTTGTACCGTGCAGAATATCCTGAATGTAAGACCCAGTGACTTGTACCATGCAGAATATCCAGATTGTAAAATCCAGTAATTTATACCATGCAGAATATCCTGATTGTAAGATCCAGTAACTTGTACCATGCAGAATATCCTGATTGTAAGATCCAGTGACTTGTACCATGCAGAATATCCTGATTGTAAGATCCAGTAACTTGTACTATGCAGAATATCCTGATTGTAAGATCCAGTGACTTGTACCATGCAGAATATCCTGATTGTAAGATCCAGTAACTTGTACCATGCAGAATATCCTGATTGTAAGATCCAGTAACTTGTACCATGCAGAATATCCTGATTGTAAGATCCAGTAACTTGTACCATGCAGAATATCCAGATTGTAAAATCCAGTAACTTGTACTATGCAGAATATCCTGATTCTAAGATCCAGTAACTTGTACCATGCAGAATATCCTGATTCTAAGATCCAGTAACTTGTACCATGCAGAATATCCTGATTGTAAGATCCAGTAACTTGTACCATGCAGAATATCCTGATTGTAAGATCCAGTAACTTGTACCATGCAGAATATCCTGATTGTAAGATCCAGTAACTTGTACCATGCAGAATATCCTGATTGTAAGATCCAGTGACTTGTACCATGCAGAATATCCTGATTGTAAGATCCAGTAACTTGTACCATGCAGAATATCCTGATTGTAAGATCCAGTAACTTGTACCATGCAGAATATCCTGATTGTAAGATCCAGTAACTTGTACCATGCAGAATATCCTGATTGTAAGATCCAGTAACTTGTACCATGCAGAATATCCAGATTGTAAAATCCAGTAACTTGTACCATGCAGAATATCCTGATTCTAAGATCCAGTAACTTGTACCATGCAGAATATCCTGATTGTAAGATCCAGTAACTTGTACCATGCAGAATATCCTGATTGTAAGATCCACTTGTGCAGAATATCCTGATTGTTCCAGTAACTTGTACTATGCAGAATATCCTGATTGTAAGATCCAGTAACTTGTACCATGCAGAATATCCTGATTGTAAGATCCAGTGACTTGTACCATGCAGAATATCTTGATTCTAAGATCCAGTAACTTCTCCAATGCAGAATATCCTAATTGTAAAATACTGTAATTTATACCATGCAGAATATTCTGATTGTAAGATCCTGTAACTTGTACTATGCAGAATATCCTGAATGTAAGATTCATTAACTTAAACTTTGCAGAATATCCTGATTGCAAGATCCAGTAACTTGTAACATGCAGAATATCCTGAATGTCAGATCCTGTAACTTGTACCGTGCAGAATATCCTGAATGTAAGACCCAGTGACTTGTACCATGCAGAATATCCAGATTGTAAAATCCAGTAATTTATACCATGCAGAATATCCTGATTGTAAGATCCAGTAACTTGTACCATGCAGAATATCCTGATTGTAAGATCCAGTGACTTGTACCATGCAGAATATCCTGATTGTAAGATCCAGTAACTTGTACTATGCAGAATATCCTGATTGTAAGATCCAGTGACTTGTACCATGCAGAATATCCTGATTGTAAGATCCAGTAACTTGTACCATGCAGAATATCCTGATTGTAAGATCCAGTAACTTGTACCATGCAGAATATCTTGATTGTAAGATCCAGTAACTTGTACCGTGCAGAATATCCTGATTGTAAGATCCAGTAACTTGTACTATGCAGAATATCCTGATTGTAAGATCCAGTAACTTGTACTATGCAGAATATCCTGATTGTAAGATCCAGTAACTTGTACCATGCAGAATATCCTGATTGTAAGATCCAGTGACTTGTACCATGCAGAATATCCTGATTGTAAGATCCAGTGACTTGTACCATGCAGAATATCTTGATTCTAAGATCCAGTAACTTCTCCAATGCAGAATATCCTAATTGTAAAATACTGTAATTTATACCATGCAGAATATTCTGATTGTAAGATCCTGTAACTTGTACTATGCAGAATATCCTGAATGTAAGATTCATTAACTTAAACTTTGCAGAATATCCTGATTGCAAGATCCAGTAACTTGTAACATGCAGAATATCCTGAATGTCAGATCCTGTAACTTGTACCGTGCAGAATATCCTGAATGTAAGACCCAGTGACTTGTACCATGCAGAATATCCAGATTGTAAAATCCAGTAATTTATACCATGCAGAATATTCTGATTGTAAGATCCTGTAACTTGTACCATGCAGAATATCCTGATTGTAACTTGCATTTTCCTCCTTCTCTGACATTAAGTTAAATTAAAGCTTTAATTCAAAAGCTCATTGTGTGAAAAGACACGCTGACAATCGCAAATCCCCACATACATTAATGTTAGGGCTGTTAGTGGAGATGTGGCCAATAGTCGGCCTCTTTTGAGGAATTTTAGGTGGCTTACAGATAACAATTTTTTCAACTAAAATGTAATTGGCTCATTGGCAAAAAATAGTTTTATTGCTGTGGAGCCCTATTAAACACCCAGACACACCAACAATATAGAACTCCTAGAAAAGAGAGACAGAGAGACGAGGGCCCAAAATTGGGACACTTGGGGTTTATGCAGTTATGTAAAGAGACAAAACAAAACATTTGTAGAGAAATACAAGATTTTGCAAGATTTCATTAGTGGGTTATTATTAATTTCATTGTTGATTTTTAACAAAATTACTAAATATGAGTATAATTCTAGATTTTCCCCTGGACTTGGCACCCAGCCAACCTCGAGCAGTAATTTTAAGATACACATATTTACTCACTTCCTCGATTTCTTAAAACACCAAATACATAGTCTTCAAAGCAAACAAATGTAAATGCTGTTTTAATACCAGGAAAGAAAATACTCTAAATGTGCTGCGTATTGTTTGTGGTGGTTTTTGATTACAAGCAG